TCCATCCTCATGGAGTACTTTGCCACCGACTACCGTTAGTGGTCAGGCGGTTTGCACGCCACTACGAAACCGGACAGGTGCCCCCGAAACCCTCGGAACATCGTTGAGCCAATGAATGAAAAAAAACTCGTCTTACTGTCTGGTCTCTCCTGTTTTGGTCTCCTCAGCCTCTCCCGGAGACGATGGTGGCTCGTCTGTGTGAGTCCAAGAAGGTGTGCGGCGCCGCGGACACACAGCTGCAGGTGGAATGACCTCACACACACACACAGACACACACTACAATTATATCGGACGCTTTAAACAAATGCTCTCAGAAAGTTTGAGGGACGCTGGTTAGAGGTTAATTTAGTCTTTTTAGATATTGATACATACTTTTCAGTGGAAACTTTATTGCTTTTCTTTCATCATCAGGTTTGTACAAGCAGAACTGCGGATAGTAGGAACTGAATTATTATTGTTTTTGTTGTTGTTTCCTGTGCAGATCTTCTACGCCGTCCTGGACCAGATCTACCACAGCCAGCCCCAGAACCGCAGCACCACCGACGTCCTGAAGGAGATGCAGCAGAAGTTCTACGGCTTGCCTTATACGCCCAACACGGTACGTGTTGTGCCGTGCATCGCACCTTATTCGACTCCTTTTTGGAGCCGCCCGTCCCCACGGATGTTGTGTGTCGGAGATCGATTACAGTCTTTGAGGTTTGATCATCTGGAGAAAGGTTCCCTCAAGACTCTCCTCCTCCCGCCGCTCAGTTGATCTCGGCACGGACACAACACACTCTTTCTCCTTCTCTTTCCTTTCTCTCTCTGGTTCTATATCTTTTACCGAGGCACGGCAGCGTTTAAGGGATTAAAGCCTTTCTGTTTTTTGAAGCCCTGCTGAAATAACAAAGCGGAGGCAAACTCTGAATGAGACATCCCTCGGGGAAGTATTCGAAACTCTCCCTCTCTCGGCCCTTTTAATGACGAAAGCTCTCAATTTCCCCACTTTTGCAGCTGCGGGCACGGAGGGAGAGATGATAATTTAGCCAGCAATGGCCTCCATCAAGGCTTTACTCTGGGCTGTAATTACGTGGGGTGCCATCGGGAATAGCGATTGCAGCACTGCTGTGTATTCTCTCTGAGGTCGTCCTGCCGCTCGCGTGCTGCTTTGTAGCTCCCGGGGTTCGTGTCATATGGTCTGGTCCCCTTCTCAGGCCACAGTGAAGCACCTAACAGACACCTCGCGCCCCCCGCTAACCCACGGCGGGATCGCTTTCCCTCATCTGAACTCGGCAGGCAGGATGACCGGAGCGCTTTAGGTTTCTCGGATTGGATCATCGTTGGATCAGAGCGAGCGAAAACACATTTGTTTGGACACTTCAATGACTCTTATTTCAACTTTCAACCCCGTCCCCCCCCCCCCCCCCCTCGTCTTCATGGAAACTCGGCCCGGGAGAAGGTTTCCATGGCTACGAGGGCACTTTTGAGTGGCTAATAGGTTAAGGAGAGCACAGATTCTAAACATCAGGACGATGCTGACATGTGTGTGGTTTATAGAGCAGCGCTATCGTCTCCCTCCGCCTGGAGAGAGAAGATCAGCTGCGAGTAACACGGACCACATGCTCACCCTTGAGCCCAAGATAATATTTGGAATTTCTTTTCACAAAGCAAGATGTTCTGGTCCCTGTGTTGACATTTCCTTAATCTGCAAATCTTGGCTTGAATTTTTCACGATCTCATGAAAAAAAAGAAACGTAGGCACACTCGAGCACATTTTAATCCTCACTTTCCTCTGAAAACGCTCCCCGAAATAAACGGCGCGAGCCGACTTTAGACCGAACAAAGCGTCTCTTACAAGAGGGACGCCGTTAAAAGCCTTTTTTAAATCAGAAGGAAATCTCGCTTGCGTGTCGTCCACTCGCACAAGAGAGGAAACCTAAAGCTGTGTGGAAGATTAAAACATCACTTCATGCCACGTATGAAACGGCTTTTATTTCTTTCCAGAATATGACAGTCGGCTCTCCCGAAGATTCAAAACCAGAGGCACAAAAAGTCCACCATGAATATTCATTTGGAATATTGTGTTTTTCATGAATCGGGATGAATTATTTGTCCACGTGTGAATTGACTTGAAGCACCAGACTTCTTCCTCTTATTAAAGTCTCCGCTTTCTACCGTAATGGTCTTCAATGCCGCCGGATCGCTCGGCTCCTTTTAAAAGCCTATTACACTTTATTTATGCAACTTGAAAGTGTTGGTGATATGCAGTTATCTGAAGGGTCTATTTCCTGGAAGTGGACTTTTCGTGATGTTTTTCCACTTTGCAGTGTGAATTCTACCTTTTCGACCTCAGACATTTTATAGTGATACGTGAAGGTTTCGCAACACCAGCCTGTCGCTACGATCGCAAACTGATCTGGACTCCTCTCTCTGTTGAGCGATGGATCTCAATGAGGCCACACTAGTTGCTATTTTTAAAGTAACAATGGGTCGAAAAGACTTTGCTCGTGCTGACGATCCAGAGAGAAATGCAACCCGACTGCTGTCCCCCCCCCCCCCCCCCCTCAGCTCTTTTGGATTCTGGCTTCTTTTGCTTCAGTGTTTTGTTACTTCACCGGCGGGTAGTTTGCCAGAAGCCTAACCGCCAGTCGGTCCTCCTTTAAAAGAACAAATTCAATAAAACCTGAGTGACGACGTGTCTCCCTTTTTTTTAAACAACGTCCCCCACAAACCCCCCGGACCCGATGCGCAACTCAGAATTCTGTGCATGTGCAAAGTTTAGTTTGGGTCACTTCAAACACCGTTTGTGTGTAATTTCTGTATAAACTCAGGGCGTAAGTTGTGTACTTGTATTTCACAATTCTGAATCCTATAAATGTTTGTTGTAAGTGTGTGTGGGGGGGGGGGGCATCTGCACTCTTTTTATGATTTTGTTAACTGTGGCAGCTGCTGAATGTTTGAGTGTTTGCCAGCCGAATTCCCCCAGTGTCCCTGAGATCATAAAGGGTTTGTCTTTATAGATATGAACCCCCCCCCCCCCCAACACACGCACACACAACCTATTGAGAGAAGGGGGCTTTTTCCCTTTTAGGAATTTCCATGCTGTGTCCTCTTACAGAAGGAGCAGACAGGATGTGATCTTACGTTTATGAGGAAAAGGTGTATTCCAACACTGTTATTGCCTCAGTAAAGACGGCGGATTATTGAGAAGACATCTCCATGTTGTTTTTTCTTTTACTGGATCTCTTATGAGCAGAAACATCTAAGGCCCCACTGCTCCCTCACACACCGATCGTTCCTTGATATCATCAGAGCTCTGCTGTCCGGTGCTGTTGATGTCCCGATTATTTTAAGATGTCCTGGCTTCATTTATTTGTTTATTCTGTCCTCCGTAGGCGTGGCAGCTGAGATTCAGCCACCTGATTGGCTACGGGGCCAAGTACTACTCCTACCTCATGTCCCGCGCCGTGGCCTCCATGGTGTGGAAGCAGTGCTTCGTCCAGGACCCTTTAAACAGGTGAGGCGGCTGGTCTGATAACAAAATGTCAGACTGAGCAGTGAGAAGGTTCAACTCCCTTCAACCAGCTAATCTGCTCAACTTCTTCCCTCAGAGGGGCTCGAGCTGGGATTTTCATTTTTATCTCATTTAAACTGTAGTCGTAGCCTAAAGACGTAGTCGTAACATTATGCAGGGAGTCATTTTGGGGACTATTGTTTGCCTTACTGAATTAAAAGGGAAAGGGTTTTATGACGTTCACTGTGAAGCTGCTGACCCAAACAAGCAGGACCAAAGTTGAACAGAAGTAAGAAGTCGTACTCTAGTTTGACGGATAAAATAAGTCATTTCATTTGATTGGAAAAAAAAAAAAAAGAGAAATCATACTAGAAACTCAAGCATTGTAGTCAAAAAATAGTTCGTCATACTCAGAAAAAAATAATTGTGACATAGTTTTTAAAAAGAAAAGTCCTACTATAGCCTGTCGGGAATAAAGTCATACAATATTTGAGTCTAACCTTGCGTTCATGGGGAGAGACTCACTCACATGACGTAAAAGCATCACCCAGTATTGTAAACCGAGCCTCTTCTTCCTGATCTGCATCCAGCGGAGCTGGAGTTCCCTTCTGCCTCTTTTCTTTTCCACTGACATAGTTTCAGTTCCAGTAGCTGTCAGACCTCTTTTTTTTTTTTCCTGCCACCTGCGTGTCTTCAGGAGACTCGACCTCGGCCTCCGAGGCGCAGCGGCAGTTCGTTGACGGCAGAATGTGTGTGTTTTGAAAGCCGTGTCTCTCTCCGTCTCCTGTCAGGGACATGGGGGAGCGCTACCGCCGGCAGATGCTGGCCCACGGAGGAGCCAAGGAGCCCATGCTGATGGTGGAAGGTAACTTACCGTGTTACTTTTTCCCCAAAATGCTATTTCTTTTCTTCTTCTTTTTTAATATTAACCCATAACATTCAACAACGGTCCCTACGGTTTATGTGAGCATGTTTGTGTTCCACGGGAGCCTCGTATCCTTCAGTGCTCCTGATATTTCTGGGCTCTCGGCTGACCTTTTGACCCCAGAGCCTAAAGCCTAAACACTTCCCAACTCGTTGCAAGTATACTTACTAATATCACAGAGGAAGAAGAATAAATAGATTACATTTTAAATGCAGAAGCAGCTGTGAGTCCGTTTGTCTGGTTGCAGGTTTTTTTTCAGGTCTTTGCAGCTGCTGCTGTCGAGCTTGAGCTCCCGCAATGGAACCCATCAACCAATTTCACACACGTCCCCATGTTTCTGATCTGTTTAGGACAGTAACCCAGGAACACAGACAAACTGTGTGGAACTGTGGGACAAATTGTTGAGTCGGCTTTTTTTTTTTTTTTAGCGACCGCACGTTTTTCATCTTAGTTCCAACCCTTTTCTGAGGTCAGTTACAGGATCTGCTTGAAAAAAAGAAAGAATGATGCTGCCTTTTTTTATTTTTTTTTATTATTTTTTTTAGCACAAAAAATCCAGAAGTTGGGAAATGCAGACTTTGGTGATTACAGGTTTCCACAATAAAACTGCTGACTCTGCAGTGTTAAAACACAGTGGTACATTCAACCAAACATTTTTCAGCAATGCGGCATCGCAGACCAGGTGGTCTACCACGACCCGAAGCTTCTCTACTATGGGGTGTGTTACTTTTCAAGCAAAAAATGTCATTCTGAAATAACACATTGTAGAATTCTTACTGTATCGTCAAGTCCAGATCCGAGTTAATCAGTTGTCATTTTAGCAGAACCTGACGGACAAAAAAAGCAACCGCTTCCTCCTGTGGCTCTCGCCTCCCCTCACGTCCCCCTCCCCTCCCCTCCTCCCTCGTCCAGCAGCCACTGTGGCAGGTCTGCACGGGACAACGGGGGGCCCGAGGGATTAGCACTATCAGGTGACATTTGGGAGCGGGTCGCCTCCTTCAGACTGTCCCTTTGACAGCTTCTGGAATTCCAGCCGCCCACAGATCAAACCCTCGTTATTAGAGCCACTGTTCAATTAACTGTTGGTGAGCTGCCAATATTTGCTTTGATGGCTCCCGTTTGAAGTGAACGCTACTCTAATCATAGACCACCAGAGACATTTCTTTTTCTTTTTATCTGTTTTTTTTTATGTCTGGAAAACCGCTCAAAGATAAACCGTCCTCATATTTAAAAAAAAAAGGGCTCATCCAGCCGCTCTCGCCATTTTGGTGGCTACATATGTCCTCATAATTTACCCCAAGATCATGAAAGCCTCAGTCGGAGTTATAAAAGGACGTGGGGCATGTGCTGAAACATTTAGCTTTCCACTACTTCTCACTGTGGGGTTGAGAGGTTCAGAGCAACATCTTGAATTCCTGCTGGGAATGGAAAACCGTTTTGAGTAAGAACGTCCCTTTTTCTATCAAGTTTGGGCCAGAAGGGAGACCGGGCCTGGAGGAGGGATGCAGGCTCTAGAGCCGACCCGTTTCACGTCGTTCCCTCCAACAAACTGTGCCACGTTTACCCTCTTTGGCGGAGGTGGTGGACGGAGCGAATCAGAGGCCACTCTTCATCTGCACAGCTGCCCTCCCACCACTGGATGTTTCCGAGGGGGGGGGGGAGCACAAACCCGGGGCATTATACGACGGCGGCACCTAAGAAATGAGTGCGAGGAAAAAGTGAGAGTGGGCCTGAGCGAAAGGTGATCGTCGGACTGAACGGAGCCTCGGCCGCCGCCACAGAACTTCACGGATGGGATGTGGGGCCACGGTCATCATTTAAAGCTCTTAGGCGATGACATTATTTGTGGTGAAAATGATTCTCAGTGAGCTACTTGGACGGATTCAAGTTCTGGCCTGATGATGATGATGATGATGCTTGACGACAACGGATGGAACCTCTGGGTGGGAGTTGAGGCATTTAAGGCCACCACCTAAGGAGTGTGATGTATCCTCTGGCGAACACGAGCGGAATGAAGTAGAAGAGCAACATCGCTTCTTTGGCTAAAAATGTGTTCCTCAGTTGCAATAACCACACGTAGCGTTTGCGTGGGGGACCCGTTCTCCCGTTGAGGGGTCTGTGTACAGAGTTCACAGCGCTTTATCCTCGGTAACGTCGCAGGTTTTTTTTTCCTTTTGTGAAGCCACTTGATCAACAAAGAGCCTCCCTGTGCGCTGTTTGTCGTCACCCTTGTCTCGCTTACTTTCTGGGCCCGTCCTAAGTGCTGTTTGTCGAAAAAGCTTCCTGAACTTCAAAGGCGTAATTACAGGGGCCCCCGGGCCGAGCTTTGCCTCCGGGTTCGACAGAAGGAACCGCTTTTTCACGTGTTTCCCGAAGGGTTACGAGCCGCGGCCGAGCGGCTTCTGAGGCAGCCAGCGACGCGCTCTCAGATCGCCGACTCTTAATAAGTGACTTGGAGCTCGGCGCAGTGAGAGCGCTTTATTCGTACGCCCGCAGAGTTCTTAAAAGGGGGCACAAATGTGGTGTGCTGCTGCTGCTGCTCGCCTGTGAGCGAGTTTAATCGTCCCATAAAAGTAACCAATTAAATGCTGAAAGAAGTGGACCAGTGGCTCCCGTGACACGCTAAGCGCTCTCATTGGTTAATGAAGGCGTCCAACGGTGGTGATTGGCGCTCCAGTAGCAGAACACGGCTGCTCAGCGAAGGCGTGAACGTGCGCGCTACGCCAATAAAGAAACGTATCGTTAAATTGTAATTTTATTGAAAATTCCTATTTGACTAATGACCAAAACCTTTAACCCCCCTCCCCACCCCCGGAAACAAATGGGTGTAATGTTTTGTGAATCTGTTCTTAAGAGAATGTAGGTCAGCAGAAACTTGACCCCCGTATTCTGTAAAGGGAGGGAAAAAAAAAAAAAATCTGGGCGGCTCCTCGGATGTCTGATCGTTTGAAGCGGCAGTAGCTGCAGGCTGGGCAACAGTTTGAAAACATTTCCACTGAGTTCTCGTCCCCAGAGCGGTGATTAGCGAGGCTCCGTTTGACCGATACCCATCGCCCACCACCCTTCAGAGTAAATAAGTGACTCTGTGCCGGCACTGCTCCTTCTCCTCCGAGAGACGCGTCTGTTTGTTTGCGAGACGTAAGTGTGATTATAGAAAAATACTCGGGCGAGCGGCAGCTTCTTTCGCCGATCAAGAGGTCAGAAGCTGTAACGTATCTGAGCGCAGCCTCCTGAGCCGAGGTTCTGCACGGCCGTGCACACCGAGCAGAGCCGCTGTTTGGTCCGGCGAGCGTACGGGACAATCCTCTGTGTAGGGTCACTGTTTCTGTAGGAAAAGCGCGAGTACCTTCCTATTCTCCTGTGGAAATGGAGCCCTAAATAAATGGCATGGCAGGCCGTGGTGGTAGAGTGTGTGTGTGTGTGTGTGTGTGTGTGTGCGTCTCTATAAAAGCGGCTCCTCGGATCAGATACTCCTCCGCCATGTTGTTATGACTTTGAGGTTATCTGCATTCCTCTCGGCCTCTCCCCGGGATGCGGGCCGCGAAGCGACGCTCTGCTCGTCTGCTGGTGCTGACGCGCCGGGCCGGCCAGGCGCCTCCGATTACCTGACTCTCTGTATGAGAAAGTGCCGGTGGCGACGCCGTGGTTCCGTTGTCCTCCTCGCAGACCGCTGAAGTGAACCGATGTGTCCTGACCGCTGACCTTTCGGGTCACAGAAATCCATCTTTTTTTTTTTTTTTTTAAGGGCTCACTCGTGCCAACAACGGGACAAGAACCATCCACCGACTCCTTCAGTATTTATTATTATTTTTCTTCTTGTGTTGGGTTTTATTTCACATTACTTGATGTAAAATATTTCATGGTATATGATGCCTTTAAAAAACATATTTTTTACATTCCCGACAATTCTCTATGACGATCACATGACACAATCTTCATGGCACACTATGTTCTACGTTCTTTTTGACTTTTCTATGGCACACTGCTTCATGACGTGTTAATAACAAAGCGTAATATGAAGCTTCCCTCGAGCCTGGGGGGCATTTGTTTTGGCAAAGACTTCCACCTGGACACGATGATCAGCAGATTACAATTCGGTGGTGAGAATACATTTTGTTCATAGCTTGTATCATTAATGTTAACGCCGCACATGAATATCTAAAGGGATAAAACGAACAAGACTTTGATGTAAACTGTAACTCCACTAGCAAGGCAGTAATTCTTGCTATGACTTGATATACTGTGACTTTTTTTCTTCCTTTTCTTTGCCTGACACACTATATGCTGTGATCTCTTTCCATGACACACATTCCGACGTCCTTGCTGTTGCTGCATAGTTTACTGTGAAAGGTGCAGTGGAAACAAACCTTTTAATTAAGGCCGTCATTCGCGGTTGGAAGTCATCGCTTTCATGTGGCTGCCTTGTTCCGACTGCTCCTCCTCTGGTGCAAGGCGATTCTCTGCAGGCCGTGTTTCTCCCTGCTGAGCCAGTGTGGGATGGCAGCAACGTGTGTGTGTGTGTGTGTGTGTGTGTGTGTGGACGGTTGACTGTCCATGTGTCAAGGATCGCTGCGTTAAAAACTGTTTTGCGTGTCCATTCATGCACGCTTATATGTGTGTGTGTGTGTGTGTGTGTTGGAGGTGACCCATGCAGGAAGGAGGAGGAGGGGGGTGGGGGCTATTTACATTGGCAGCTACACAAGGGGAAATGAACTGACTTCAAAGCGGGCGTGCAGCTGAATTGTAAAGCGAGCGAAGGAGTCCTCCACGCATGAGCTGGCGGACAGCTTCTCAAAACACACACACTGAAACGGGTGCTGCGGAGCAGATATTGTGTGTGTGTGTGTGTGTGTGAGATGTACGACCTCCTTCTGGGTTTCGTTGAAGATGTTGAACTTCACAGACTTTATGCCCGACATTCTGTTTACACAGAATGTGTCAAGAAAATATAAGAAAAAACGCTGTATTTAAATAGATGTATTACATTTTGCACTGATTGCACATCAAGTGACAAGAACCCCATGTTAAGAATAAGCCATCCTCAAAATGCACCTTGTTAAGTACACACACACACCTTCACCTTAAAACCTGCGGTTTGTTGTCTCCGTGGGACAGGGATGCTGCAGAGACGGCCCACCATGGAGGACTTTGTGGATGCGTTGGTGTCCGAGCTGAACCCCAACTTTGAAACCTTCATCATGGACTCCGAAAGCTGAAGATCTCTCCGTCGCCATGGAAACTGACGTGACCCTTTTTTTACAAGGCATCTTTACTTTTGTCTGTAAATAAACATCGCCGGGCTCTTAAAGTCACATTGACTTGTTTTGATAAAGTTTGTTAATTTTGCTGTTTTAAATAATGATACATTAATGTTGTAAGAGTTTAAGTTGCTTCGTAAATAAAAAGAGGAATATTATGAACTGCATTCCATTTCCCAACAATCTGGACTCACTTTTAAGAGTTTTTAAAAATGTAATGTAACAAGCCACTATGAATTTCATTAAATGACTCATTTTGTGGTCAGTTTGAAATCCAAAGAAGTTCTAAAAAAGACAAAGCTTTGTTATAAGGCTGCAATTGATTTTTTTTTTGTCTATTAAAAACCAGAAAAATAAGAAATGATTCTTCAGTCGGATCCACATTACAAATCATTCTGTTTATTCATTCATTGTTCCAGCTCTTAAGTTTCATCACTGTAACATTTTTTGAAACAAAGATCAAACTATAGAAAGAAAGGCGGCAGCTGTCTAATTGTGTCTTACATTTAACCCCCAAACGGTGGAATGGAAATACTAAAATGCTTGATTTAAAGAACTGAGGAAATGAATTCCTGGGTATGTAAACTTGTTCAAGTGGTTTAATTACAAAAACAACATTTGGAAGTGACCAATCACAACCAACAACACTATAACTGTGGGAAGCAAAGCAAACATATTGTCAGTCATGTCTATGTTACAAAAATATGTATCTATTTAATATTTTACAGTATCTACAACAAATCTATCACTTTGACATTCCCTGTTCTAACTCCATATAGTCAAGATTGTCTTCAATGTGCAACATAATAACTTTTGACACTTTTCTTCACGCCTCAGATTACCTTTACACAAAAGCTTCATAACGCCACCTGTTGGGTCAGTGGTTCAGTTCTTCTACATGTAAATATGAAAGTCGCAGAGCAGAGACTGATTCACGGTAAGAAGTCAATACTCCTCGACGTTTGAACTTCATTCGATTTCACCCTCTGGGCCTGTGAGGTCACATTCTGTGTGTGTGTGTGTGTGTGTGTGTCTCGCTCCCCTTTGCCCCCTCGCTTTGATTTTCTTCGGCAGTGCTTTTGTTTGCATCTATTCTATCTGGAGCCCTTGACGAGGGACACTGAGTTCAGCGGCGTTTTCAAAGATCCGTGCTGCAACCAGACTTGAGAGCGGCTGCAGCTCATCTGTGTGGAGGAGGGGGGGGGGCGGGGTGTGTGTGGGGGGGGTGTTATGGAGTAATCTCATCTGGGTTGCTGGCCGTGGCGGTGGAGTTCGGGGTGCAACACGAGCCAAAGAAATCCTTGTGGTCCTGGATAGAGAGCAGGAGGAGGGTCACACACAGTGATTAGTAACAACACATGGAAACTGCTATTGAAGCCGTAGGATTTAGAAGATGTCAAAGAAAATGTGCTGAAAGATATATTTATCAAAAAAAAGTGATAGTCGAGTGTCGTGAAATAAGAAATGTAATATGGTCCTAAAATGTCCTTATAGTTTGTCCTAAAACCAAATGAGTTTAACACGGCGTGTTACAAATAGAATAGTATGCTATCAAATGGCAAAAGTAGGTTATAAAAGATTAAATGATCGACAATTATAAACAAATCATAAGAATGTCACGGCATAGTTATGTAGAATTTATTTCATTATAAGTATTTCTCTGGAGGCAACCTTTTCATCTGTGCAGTTTGCCCGACACTTTGAATAACTACAGACTCGTTAAACAGTCCGCTGTGTCTTTACACGCAGCGCAACACGAGAACTGATTCCTATCTGCAGAAACGTGGGTCCCATTTGGTAAAAGGAGGTTGTGCTTCATGACCGTCGTCTTCCTTTTTGGGGTGGAGGGGTGGGGGCTTTGTATGGGAGCATAATGGCACCTCACCTTCCAGACCCGGCGCACCCGTCACAGCTTCGTCAAATTCCCCCTTGACTCGCATCCGTCCTCTTGGTGGTCGCCGTGTCCCTCCCCCTCCGGTCCCCCCGCGTCGCTCTCTGCGGGCTCTGACGCCCCTCTCGCCCCCCCGGCCTCAGAATGTCCTCCCGGCTGCAGCGGGACGCTGTCCTCGTGGTGGTGGGCACTCCTGGGGAGCGTGATAAAAGAAGTTCTTCAATCTCTTACGTGTGCTCCGTGCTCCACCCGTCTGGTGATACGAGCTGTTTTCCTGCACAGTACGACAACGATCACCTCCCGCGCGTCATTTTGACCGCCGTTCACCATCTTAATGAGAATGCGCATTTTCCTCACCCGTCGCCGAGGCTCGCCAGGGACTGGAAGGGACTGCGGCCCAGACTGCAGCTCTCGTCGCAGCACAGAGATGGGATCAGGTGGACGGGACCTGAGCATCACACACACACACACACACACACACACACACACACACACACACACACACACACACACACACACACACACACACACACACGGCTTAACGAAACAACGCCTTCCTGCCAGTCATCAGTCGTCTGATCGGCGTTCGGCGGTGGAACCGGGACCTACCGCAGGCCGGTCGGGGGCCGAGGTGACACTGGCAGCAGGGTCTCTGGGGGACGTCCTGGAGCCAACGGGGGTCGAGGAAGGACAACTCCGCGCCACCGAAGGGACAGTCCTGGGACCTCAGAGAGGCAGCTGAGGAGACACGGTGCACTCAATCACAGAGACACACAACAACATTCTGCTGATAGAAAAGAAGTACAGGTTGTATTCATTAATCACTATTATTTTGGTTTTTATGATTATTTTAATTGACTTACCAGCAGTTGCATGTTTTTAGTTACCATGAAGAAGGGACAAAACACACCTTAATAGAAGTCTTATTAATAGTCTCAGTCTCTTTTGTGTTTTCTTAATTGCTGCTCACAGGTGAAATCCTCCGAGCTACAGTTGGTGGTTTTTATCTGGAAAAAAACTTGTCTCATGTGTTGGGAACGGCCTCACTACCCTCGGGTCCATGAGGCCAATTAAAATTCTTTTGTATAATTTCAAAAGCAACCGTGTCAGCGTCTTGAAGAGGCCTGGGTATGTTTGTACGGAGCGAAAAATATTCAACTTATGTATTTACCTCACACCAGAAATAATAAACAAATAAAAACGGCTGAGTTTCTTCTACGTGATGTCATTCTTTGCCCCGGGACGTCTGCTTTTGGCTTGTGGAATGCTGATCATTAAAGAAGTTCCCACAAATGTGCAACACCGGTGTTTAATAAGGCTGTACACGGAGCTGACAGATGAACCGGCCCTCTGTTTGTGTTGTTAACAAAAGAGCAATGCAATAAAGCTCATCCAGCTATAAATACTCGCTCTGTAAGTGCCAATCATATTTTAGCATGCATATATTTAGCTGTTGCACAACACTGATCCCTGCGGTGCAACAGTTAAAACTACAATTTTCCACATAAATGGCAGCTCTACCATTTCTACTTTTTTAGTTTGGTCTTTCTTTGTTTTGGGAGACATTTTTGATCATCTTACCAGAACAAAAAAAAAAACTATTGCCTGGCTGCGTATTAAATTACGACCACCTGGGGAGGAGGTTTGGGGGAAAGGGGGTCAAAGTTCAGCGCTTTTGCCACAAAGAAACCACATGCAGCGCTGGCTTGTGAAAACTGCGCTGGTGTATAAAAAGCCTGCAAGTCCACTTTAAGGCCTTTTACGCACGCGGCGCTCGTCGGAGACAGATGTGCAGATGTGGCGACTCACCGCTGGGCTTCTTCTCCAGCAGCTGCCTCTTGCAGTAGATGACGCAGAGGACCAGCAGCGCCAGCAGCACGGTGGCCAGAGCGCTGCAGATGACCGCGGCGAGGGCCACGTCCCGCGGGCTGGTCACCACCGAGGGCAGCGGCACCAGGTTCACACGCCCGCTGCCTGAGAAGAAGAAGAAGAAGACGGAGGGATGGGGGAGGGGGAGGGGGGTGCTTAATTCATGGTGATGGGTGGTTTTATGTCTCAAAATAGGGTATTGAATAGCCCGTGACGAGGAGCAGCTACTCGGTGTCGTCCGGCGCTCCCGGGCCAATCGGCGTAACGTGAGAAGCGACGGTTCCTCTGCGCCCTCGAGCCAGGCACCTCTTTACTTCAGCCCAATGAAACACGCAGAGGAGTTCAAAGAGAAAACGCCGGCGGTGGGTTCGCCTTTTATCTGCCTGCGTCTCGTCCCTCACAGAGGATGATTTACAGACGTCCCCTCCCTCCCCCCCCAGGCTTCCTCACATGCCTGACATCAAGAGACCAACATGCGAGCGGGCCTCCTGAAATGGGCCAGATACTGGTGTGTAGGTGGGGAGTTTTTTTACGCTTCTTTGTGTTGATTTCGTGCTGTCTGGCTGCACACCCGACTTCCTCGTTTGAGGGTCATTTCTCTCTGAGATCACGTAGCTGGAGATGATAATAAGTCATTATCTGCAATCAGATGTGACACTGATCAGTGTATGATGGGTGGGATCGGGGTTATTGCCGAGCAAATATTTAAAGTATGCTGGTCACTGTGAAACCAGTTAACGGCGTGTGGGCACAAATCAATCGTGAGGGATTGTTGATGAATACGACAAATAAAATGAATGACTTTTTGTTTGAGAAAGTCGTTTTTCAGTGAGCCCCGCTGTTTGCTTTTAAGTACATTAATCATAAAGGGAACTGGTTTCCACCTTTTCACGTCCAACAGCTCTTTGTTATACACTGTAAACATTACTTTAGCTTTGGGCAGGTTTTTTTATTCAGCCAGATAGGGGGATGAGGGTATTTGAACATTCCTTCCAGGGAAAGACAAAAAAAGAAGGAAAAAAATCGAAGCTTAGTTTGACTCAGGAGAGCAAAGTGAAGGGGCATTTTGTTTTAATAAGCACAAAGTACATAATGTCAACAAAATGACTTATAACTTCAATAAACTAATGTCAGATTCTAAAAACTGTTACAGGAGCTAAAAAACACAACTGCTCTCAATGATTGGCAGTTTACATAAGAGCATTAGAAAGGATAGTCTCACAATCACAAATAATATTCTCTCTGAATACTGTTAAGTATCTCCTAACGACACTTGAGGCTTGACACGCGTGATGAATCGCCATAACAAGTGTAGAAAGACGCGGTGCGGGTAACCGTCGAATAACATTCGGCCCTCATTGCCAAGGTCAAAGTCAGCTCATCCAAGGTGAGCATCCTCTGGGCCCAAACACAAAGGCAGCCTGTTATCAGAGGCCCCGCAGCTGCAGCAAACACTGATAAACAGCCGCCCATTGAGGGCAGCTCACCTGCTGATATTATCTCCACTCGAAGCGCACCAACAAACCGCAGCCTTTCATTCACTGCCTGCCTGTTGACTTAATGGGATCCCACATGCTCCAAATAAAAGGAGACCTTCTTTACACCTCACAGGGATCTTTTGTCGGTTCAAAGACACGGTGAATAGCAGAAATGTCTTCTGGTGGACGCGGGGAGGAGCTCGAAAAAACGGTGTCTATTCTTCAGACACGTCCGTTTAAATGGCAGCTAGAAGAAAAAAACGATCTGTTCTTAGATCATTAGTCCAACTGCCAATAAGCATAAAAGTGTTTCCTGCACCTTGCTGGTGAGAACGGCGTGAACACCAATTATGAGGCACGATCTCTTCTAGCTGCATGAAAAAAGAACATGCATTCAATCACTGAATCCCTTACAAATATATATATCCCCTGCTTCTCTTTTAACTGAACAAAGCCGATCCAGTTGGAAACATTAATAATAAGCCCCACTGAGGCCTCTGTTTGTCTGCTGGTTAGCGCTCGGCACCTTAAAGCCGATTCATCCCAGGAAGTAAACCAAAACATTCCCGCTGAAAGCAAAACAATGTGCCAAAAGACAATAAATTGCCCTGTGAAGCCGAGTCAGCTGATACCTTTCTCCGTCCGGCCGTCACGCCGAAGGACGAAGCAGCAGATGAAACACATTAAAAAGGCCAAAGGAATCCATAAAACACAATCTCGTTTTTCACCCGGCTCCAAAAAGCCACGGGGGGGGAGTAAAACGTACCCTCCCCTGAACAGAGGGGCCGCTGCCCCGGGCCAGTGTGGCCTGTTACAATGATCTGCCCTTCAGGTTTTCACCACCCTGCACAAGATAACAGCGCAGGGAGGGAGCGGGACCTTCAGCCCTCTGGAAACGCTCCGTCGGTCCGACCCACCGGCTCTGCTCTCAGACACAAAGGCCATTTTGTTTTCGCCGGCCTCCTCCAGTATCAGAGGAGGAAGCTGCACAGATGGACCAAGGATCAGAGAGGACGAGGAGGGCGGGAGGAGGGGGAGGGGGGTGTCATTGCGCAACTAAGGGGAAAAAAACTACTGAAAAATGTCATGTAAAAAGAACCAAAGAACTAATGGTTGGATCGGGTGGAATCGGATCCTTTACACGTGGAGCTTGTGAGCCCCGGCTGTGACGTCCCGCTGAGTTACCGAAAGGTGAAGTTCTTCTAACGGCACTAATAGGGTCCGTAGTCTACTGTAATGTGAGAAATACTGCTCTCTCCTTTCTGCAAGAAGGGCTTTTTTATTCTACTATCAACATTATGGATGTGCAAGACTGGTGTGAGAGGAAATAAATTGTGCTGCTTGAACCGTCACACTGCTAACGAGACGTATTTTCTCTAGAAAGTTTTATCCAAGTCGAGTGCCAAAAAACCAGTGACATTTTGAGCTACCGTAATCCAGTGTTGGCAAATCCAGAATAATGTTGGTGGAATCCGTTTCAGCATTTCAACTGCTCAGCTTGTAAATCCGAGCATTTGTTTGCACAAACAGCCCTGCTGCTTGACTCTGTGAGACTTAGTGAATGAACTATTTCTCGCTCCACCCTTCAACGTCTGTAGTTCTGGTTACACCAAAGACCTTGTGCTGGCATGTTTTGTGTGTGTGTGTGTGTGTGTGTGTGTGTGCGCACTGGCTTTGTTGTGGCACAGCAACCTGGCGTTTGGTTCTGCGAGCATTTGGCTACGAGTTTAATAGTGTGCCGTTTGCTTTAAGACTATTGTATCCCTCTTGTTTCATCTTGAAACATCACCTACTGTGGGCGTGGATGAATAGTCTGTATTCATGGGAACAATTCAGAGAATGTCCGACTGATCTCAGGCCAACTGTTCGAGGAGCTGAAAGAAAGTAGAGGTGCTTACAGTGAGGCTCGTAAGGAGGCGCAGGGTCACCACACGGAATACACTCCATGTCCTGAAAACCACTCAGTTTGGTCTTCCTGTAATATCTGTTGAAGACACAAAATCAACACATTTTAACCTTCAAATGTTGTAAACAAAGGAGCAGCGAACATGCACAAAGCCAGTTGGTCGTGTTGTTACATATCAAAGAGGTTTTTCTTCCTTGTCCGGCCATTAGATGGATAAACGCTTTGATAGTTACTTGACTAATCCCACAGCAGCATCCAGATTTACTGGTTAAGAAATTACAAAGTAAACAAAGTACAGAAAAGCACAATATACCCGAGAATAGCATTAAACTCGGTGTGGTTGTGTATCATGAAGTCATTCGCGGACGTGCGTCCGTGCTCTCACCCCGGCAGACACTCGCCACACACGGCGTTGCTGGTGGTGGAGCAGTTGCCCTTCTGGAAGCGGTTGATGAGCCCACAGTCCAGGCAGGGCTTGCACTTCTGCAGGCTGCGGTCCTCCTTGAAGCGGCTGCTCCGGCAGGGCACGCACCGGGCATCCTCTCCATAGCCAAAGCCGCATTCCTGGGGGGATTAACAGGAGAAACACACCGGTTGAGAGGAGGGGTCGGTGGTTTGGAAGGCTTGAATGGCGACTACCGGGGGTCTGGAATTAAAGAATGATCTTGGCTCTCAGGATCAAAAGATAACAATGGCCTGCCTCTTTTGAGAGTCCATCTTACACTGGCAATAATCTCCCTGACTCTCTCAGTGTGAACGAGCGGCCTTCCTGCTGCAAGACCCAGAGAGGCATTTGAATGATAAAGCCCCCGAGGGACACCCACTGTTGTATTATTGCACGTTTATTGCTGCGTTTTTGTGTGACTCCCTCTGCAAGCTAGACACCGCGAGAGTCCCGTTGATTGAGAGGCCGGCGAGCAAAGGAAAGGTTTCGGCGAAGGGGCCGAGGATTATGGAGAGGTGCACAGAGGAAATAAGATGAATACTCTTTTTGTCAACAATTGAAAAGTGCACTTAAAAAGCACAGCTTCCTACAACCGTGTGACTGATCTAATGCTGAGCCGTCTTCTGATGATGCACCTGAAACAAGCCAAGATAAAAAAAAAAAACACTTTAGGTTTTCTTTGAATAAAATAGAGAGCCTGGAGGGAATATCCAAAATGTATTTGTATGATTTACGGGTTGGATAAATTTGTAGTGAAAGGAATCAAATATCAACACTAAATGAACCCTAAATGTATAAATAATGTAGTGATGTACTGCCGGTGTGTTTCCTAATTGGCTCCCTCTCACATCCCTAAAGGTTATGTTGAAAGACTGGTGACCTCAATGAGAAACTGACAGTCACATGACAGGTGATGTTACTGTACACCGACACCGAGCGAAACAGACGCCGCGGGGATGACATCATACATTGATCATTCATTATCAGTCCCACAGCAGCTGCCTCTCTGATGTCCAGCGTAGCCGCACTGCAATCCAAAGCCAGAGGGATAAACGTGTGTGTGTGTGTGTGAGTGAGTGGGGGGGCTCATATATCATTAAAGTGAAGGCCAGCTCCAAACAGGGCTTCTCTCTTCTCTCATCGCCCGTGTTCCATTTCACTGCCGGGTCATGCATTCCGGCTGGAATGTGGGCACGGGAGTCTGATACCGGGGGGGGGGGGGTGGATTTGGGGAAGCAGGCTGGCAGGGAATGAAAAGGGAAAAGCAACGATGCGATCGTGAGACAGAAGACAGAAGATGAGGATTTCAGTCCTGTCATTGGACCCTTGGACCAGTCTGTGGATGAGCTACGGCCGGACTATTGCAGCTGTTGTTATGAACTCTCCATAAAAGGCCTTGCTCTCCAGCGGAGCGGGGAAGACCGGAGGTGTGTAGGAGGGGGGGGGGCAGAAGGAGTGAAGAGACAGACAAAGAGTGAGAAACAGAAAGGCTGACAAGTGATAAAAAGGGGGAAAGGCGGAACAGAGAAGACTGAGGGGAATGAAGCTCAGAGCCTGTTGAGGCTGCAGAAGTACTGCACTCAAACCCAATACTGTCTGTGAGAAAGGGACGTGGGCCCAGCCGCTGCACTGCACCTCACAGAAGGTCCCTGACCCACTTCCACATGAGGGACGGGGCCCGGCGGTGGCTCGCATCCTCTGAGCCCGGCACAAGCTCCGCCCGTGGGGCACCGCATGGCGGGATGGGGGCCGAGGCCACGTTGATGCGAGCTGGTCAGGGCGCTGAAACAAAAGCAGACCGGAGCCAACTTCTGCCTCTTTGATCCGGGCAGCACAGATCATGGAGGAGGGATCCCTTTGTTCTTTAATCCGTGCTCACAGAGCCGCGCGGAGCCGACTTCCTGCACCGGCTGCGTCTCCTTCGGCAGCCGGGAGGAAGACAACACTCACTGTGACGGTGATCTGTGATGTTTATGTTCTCCGTGTATGAAAGCATTTCCCCATAAATAAACTCTACTGAAACATCAACCAACACCAACAGAATAATATGTATCCAGTCAGTATGTTAAACATTCCAGAAAGGACAATATTTCCAGGGTGTGTAGAAGTTTCAATAATTAGAAAAATACCACAAACACACAACAGAAATCTGGCTCTTGACGCACATCTCTTTTTTACGTTGCTCTACGGCTCTTTTTTTTAGTGCATACATTCAAACAGATGAGATCAAACTACACATTTGGGAAAAAGCACAAGGAACAAAAAATGAACTCCAAAAAATAGACATATTATCATCAAAAAAGATTATGGAATTATGGAAAATTAAGGAAGTGAACATTTAAGTGAACATGTACTTCACTTCATGTACTTTTAGGATGATTTCGAGCCATCTAAGAAAACAATGCCATCTCCATGCTCTGTCTCCTGATCTGGTGTGGGTGAGACTGCCAAGCATAACAGTGGTGTGGGAGGGGAGGGGAGCAGGGGGGAGCTGGCCGGGACCTGAAGCATGTTCAGACGGAGAGATATTTTGGAGATTAGGAGGGAATCACAAGGGCGGGTGTGGGGGAGTCATCTGATCTGGTAATGAAACAACGCCGAAAACAAAGCATGTGAGTTACAGCTGCGTTCGGTCTGGAAACAAAACACACTCGTGCTCGTTTTGTTTCCCCCTCACTGCCTGGATTCTACACACGCACACACACACACACACACAAAGATGGTGGCGCAGTGACTCTGATGTTGAGCCCCATGCTGCTCAGGCACTCATTTGTCCCTCTCTTCAGCCAGGACCATGAGCCCTTTGCCCTGGAAGCGTGGCCGGAGGAAGTGTTGCTCTCTTTCACTCTTGCTACATACTACAAGATGTTGACACATTAAAGTTGTGGTCCTGCCTTTTTTCACTCCTTCTTCATGCTCTACAAGTCAGGAGACGAGGCAACTAAGTGAAGAAAAAAAAGCTGGAATGAAATATATCCCTGAAAAGGAATAATTAGTTTTAATGAACGTTCCCCCAGTGTGGGTGGTTCTTTCAGCTACAGTTAGTGCGAGGGGGCTAATTGATGTTTGTCAGCTTGCTTAAGAGCGGCTTCCAAAGGCAAACCTCCAGAGGAAAACCTCTAGAGCAAACTTCCAGAGGAAAACCTCCAGAGCAAATCCTCCAGAGCAAATCCTCCAGAGCAAACCCCCAGAGGCAAACCTCCAGAGCAAACCCCCAGAGGAAAACCTCCAGAGCAAATCCTCCAGAGCAAATCCTCCAGGGCAAACTTCCAGAGCAAACTTCCAGAGCAAACTTCCAGAGCAAACTTCCAGAGCAAACCTCCAGAGCAAACCTCCAGAGCAAACCATGCCACATTCCTCTGGGATCTCTATGGCAGCTGCTCAGAGTGACTCCAAAAGTCGGCTTCCCTCCCAACGTCCAGCCGTGCCTTTCCAAACGGACGGATTGTCTCGGTTACGCCGGCGCTCGGATCAGATGTTTTTTTCCTCTGGGAAACTTTCTCTGAGTGCAGGGCCGGGGTCGCCACTCTGAGCCGGCATCCCGCTACCTTTGCAGAAAGAATGAGGCGGCCAATTATTAACCAGGACCCCAGGGTGGCTGGCGGCATTCATGCCTGTTGAGCTGGCAGAGGAACACGCGGACCAGTGAAGCGCACTACCAACCGCAGAGTGCATGTCAGTGTGCGCCGAGATTAAAGGCAACCGGACTTAAATGCATGTGTGCAACAGATGTCAAGGGTGATGCAGTTTTTTTTCAGCGGTTCCCAAAGAGGCGGTGAAGTGTAAACCCAACTGAAGTCAGTTTTTACAGCCTTTTTATACACGGAAAACTCTGAGCTGCAATTTCATTAGTAAACGAATGGCTTACTGAAAAAGATGTTATCAAGATCTCCTACTAAAGCCGTTTAGCTGGCAGTTTTTTCTTGTTATGTTAAGCCTGTCAAATATTTAGTTGACTATTGTCAACACAAATGGGGTGTTACAGAGGTTTTTACTCTGTGTATTACTTTAAAAGTATTGAAAGACCAGTCAATCATATCGGGAGTATGTGTGTCTGTGTGCCTTTAGACTTGAAAAATAAGCAAATCAAATCCGCCAAATGGTTTGATACAATTTAACTTACCCCATTTATAATTTAGCTCATACTAAGAATGTTATGCAATCACGCCTTTTCTAAATACCGCAGAGGCAAAGCGGCTGCTGGGTCCTCACCTTTAAACTTCCGCACTGACCATTTTCGACACCGAAAAGAAGGAAAACAGTTTTGGCTGTGTACCGTCGAATTAAACAAAAAATGTAAAAGGGATTCTAAACACACTCGCTTGCCACAAACCGATTTGGTTTTTTACACTTAGCACACCTCTACATCAATGCCTACACTTGCAAAAGGAGGTGCAGAGCTGCTGCCTGCCAGAGGAACGTCTTTAGCTGCACCATTGAGGGCTGTTTGTGCAAAGCACACAAAAAAGCTGCGGCTGAGGTGGTGGAAGAAACGGTGTTCCCAGTTCGAAAGAGCAGCAAGCTTAGGCATGGCTTGCTTCAAACAGTGAAGACAATAAGTTGGACGGGGCGCAAACGGGGGAAAAACAATGGAAGCCATTCAGCAGCAGAAGGTCAAAAGCATGGGTGTGACTGATTAAAGAGGGGTCGTGTTTTACAAAAGCTAATAACGGCTCGGCTGTTCTCAGCATGAAAGAGAGGAAGTAATAAATAATGTTGGCTCCCTGGGTAAGATACACTTTCCTAAACAGTGATGTCCATTCTTTTCACGGGCCCAACGGTTTAACTCTTTTTGTTTCCACAAGAAAACCCCATTCCATTTCTTTTCCGTATAAGGAAGTCCCTTCAACTAACCTGTTGTTGACCCCTTGTGTTACTACACTTTCCTTTTCCTGAGTAAACAAGTAAACAAGGTTCTTTTCTTTCATTGGCTCTATGGGAAATTCCCTTAACTGAAAGAGCAGGACCCGAAGCAAAATGTAATTCATGTACGGTAATAAAACACCACAAGTCCAAAACAGATTTGTTTCCAACCTTTGATAGCTCCTGTCCTGCATCACACTGCTTGCAGCGTTTACAGTTCCCAAAGCGATCCCTGTACTCCTGTTCTCTGCATTCTCGGGTCTCCTCCTCGGCCCCCACGGGAATCTGAGGAGGACATTAATTTAGGGAAAGTTAGAGATTCTTGTATATCATCACCACTGTCATCCATAACAGGGCAAGTGGACGGAATGAACAGCTGTGCAACATAACTTATTTTCAAAATCGTTGGGAGAGGATCAACCCCCCCGGCCGGGATTCGTCTTGAAAACAAGTCTGACACTACTGGGATGAGATGAGAGGAGGCTTTAATGAGCCCCGTGGGCAAACTGCGCGGTTGCATCAGCGTAATCCAAGTCACGAGCGACCATACAGAGACCGCCAGAACGAGAGATGAGAATGTAGGTGGCGAGTACAATGGGGACGGTGCAGTGGACAAAGGTAAAATGATCCACAGCATTGTCACCAGCAAAGACATCACGGCTCGCTCAGTGTGAGCGGCTGAAACTAACAGTTTGTATCTGCAGCTCAGATTTTACCCGCTCAGTATTGTAATGAGTAAAATACTAAAATAGAACAGTAGGATCAAGTAAATTGGATAAGTTTCAGTGTACTCGCTTACCAGAGTTGAATAGATGACATGCAGAGTTATTAGAAGTGAGAGGGTTTGTTGAAGAATCCAGACCATTTTGATGAGCCACTTGTTTCAGCCTGAAGCTGAAAAATAGGACACAACAACAAAAGGCGGGGATTAAGTGTCTATTATATTGTATACTTTCTATAATACACACGTATTAACTCATGAACAAGAAAAAAATATCTGGTAGGGTCAAATTCTTTAAGGAAAAAAATGTGTTTTGATTATTATCAACAATAAGTTTAAGTTCGCATAACCTGTTAAACGTCATTGTGCAGCTAATCTTAATTCAAACCCACAGATTGTTATTTCATAAACCAGCGCACTACAACGTTTCATAAGAAATCAAAGACGTCCAGAAAGTGTGAATAAAATGATGCATATCTTAACTACTTCCATTTGGATGGCATTAATAAAAACGGGGAAAGTGGGGAGACGGGAGTTGGGGAGGTTAAACGCATTTTTATACAATAAAGCATCTACAATACTAACGTTAATTAGAAAAGAAGCACACAGCACGTGATCATCGCGGCAGATTGATGCTGTTTGAATTAAAGTCACGTGCGACGTTTCGGCTCTTTAAAGCTCAGACGGCATTAAGTTAAATGTCTCACAGGAACAACACATTAAAACGTCTAACAAGGCGAAAACTACATCCATGATACCGTTAACAAGTACCGGCAGTGATTAAAACGTGCGTAATGCAACGCATGCACCATAAAGTTAAGACACCAGAGGCGTTGTTCTGAAATCAAAGGCTGGTTCCGTTTAGTTTGTCGTTAAGCGCGCGACGCATCGTCCAAAAAATATATATTAAACGCGTTTCTTACCTGCTTAAAAAAAAGAAAAGGAAACAGAGTTAACGGCGGATATCTTACCGGGGGGAGAGCTTACCGGGGAGAGGTGTGCTGCTGTGAGTCCCGCACCGGTCCGCTCACCATGTCAGCGCCGCAGCTGAAGCGAAGCGCAACGCAGCGCGAGGACTACAAGCCGCCACATCAAAGGCGGGGACACGAGGAGGAGGAGGGAGGAGGAGGAGGAGGGGAGGGCGTGTATATCTGATCTGCGATCAGCCCACCTACATCAAAGACCACCCGAAGCCACGCGGAGCACAAGCACACACCCCGGGGATCGATAACAGCATTCAGCTGGTTCACAGCCAGTCAAGTGATGCAGTAGGTTGGTTTCATGTCAGTGAAGTGGAAGATGACGACTTCCCCCCCCCCCCCCCCACAAAGTGTGTGTGTGTGTGCGTGTGTGTGAGGTTTATTTAATGGCTGTGGAGTCCCTCTTCTGACTTTTGAACACCCGCCAAGGGGTTTTCTAACTTGTGGTGTGGGGGCCCGTGGGGGCCCTTCAGTGACCCCCGCCGGTCCCCCACGTACAAGTTAGAATTCACATGTAGGCCCCTCGAAGTGACAGCACCAATAACTCTGAAGAACAACTGTTTCAGAGTTTACAGAGACGGTAACCTTTTCTTTTTGAAACGTGACTCCTCCTGACATGTGATGCCGGCGTGCAGTCTGATCTGCCCGTCTATTTGGAGGCCGTCGACGCTAAATTATCGGGGAAGCTTTCATCTCTGTGGGCTGCAGAAGTCGTGACATCAGCGGGCTGATCTGCTGGGGGAGAGCAGGGTTCAATGTCAAGTCACTGATATTCTCTGCATGTCGGGCGCATGCTGGGAAATATACTTCATCCATGGAAGTCATTCTGTGCTTGTGATGGGACTTTTCTTTCTAATGCCGGGCAACCCACGTCAACATGTTATTACACCATCGTATGATACAAATTATATTTGTTAAATAACAAAAAACAACATTTGGAGGTACATTAAATCTCACAGAGTAAAATAAGAAATATTACTCAGCAATCCAGTAAAGATGAACTGTTTTAGCAAAAGTACTTTTAATCTAAATGTACAAGAAAAGGCCACAATTATTTGGCCGATATTATTATTATATTTAACTACCTTACATCCTTCCACAAAACTGACAACGTGTTACTAAAACATTTGGTGAAATGACAAGATGAAGATGGTGGGAACAGGAGCAACTTCAATTGATTTGACACAGAAACCACATGATCTTATCCAGGAGTGTGCAGTGTGCAAAACTGGTGTGTGTCTGAATTGAAGCAAAGACACAGAGGACAAAAGTTCAGCACCGCTGCAAAAGCGGCCAATTACTGGACATGTCTGGACATGTTGCATGTATCAATTCCAGGAAATCACTGTCTACTTTGGAAATGTAATTAGCTGTTACTTTCTTTAGCAAATGCATATGTGTTTTAGGAAACAAGACAGGTATATTTTATAAATGCATTAGTCTGATTTAAAAGAATGTGTCCCAATTATTTTATCTCAAAGTTTTATTCTGCTTTTATGAAATCATAGAATACATACGACATACGAACATTCAAAAACAATTCTAGGTGCTAATATGTAATCATCTAAACTGCGTTGAGGTTGAATCTGTACACTGGTGATGTAAGGATTAGCTGTGAGAGATTTGTACAGTTTGTCCCTCATGCAGCAGGAGACTCATGCTTTGCTGTGGTCTCCATCTACTGGGAGGTTGGTGTCATGGCTTTTAAAATCAACTTTACTGCTGCTGGAAGTTGTTTGTGTTTACTGAGATTATGTAAAATGCCCATTGAGTAATTTTGTCATTAATGAGATACACAACCTCCACAAATTACAGCCATACTTATTACACCAACTGCAGACCGACCTCTGTATATTGTGCACTGTGTAGGTGTTTTACATTCCAACCCCACCTTTGTGTACGTAGAGAACTTTGCACAGATGTTTTACATTCAAAATTCATCTTAGGGTATTTCTTTATAATTATTTCTACATTAACCAATTGCTTGGTTAGAGAGTTAATACCACTCTGCAAATATTCAATATTCAAGTGCAATATATTACTGTTTTAAATACACATTTCTGCTATCATACTACGTTGTATATTTGTACTATTTGTCATCATTACCGTTTGGTGCTTGTGTATACTGTCACGCTCTACATACTTTTGTTGTACTCAGCAATGACAATAAAATAATTACATTCTATTCCGTTTTATTTTATTCTCTTCTGTGCTTTAGTTATATTTAATATTTCTTGCATAGAGATTATAACACTCACTTATGGTTATTAGGATAACATCGCATTGGCCCATCCCATGTCTTTTGCCGTGGCTTGTCCCGTCAGAGCTCTTTAGGGGACACTGTCGCTTTAAGAGACCTGTGCGTTAAGCCTGCAGCCTGAAACTGCCCAGAGGTTTTTTCACCACTGTTAACTATTGCACCCCGAAACGCGATCCACTCAAACTACCACCGCTGTGCTTTTCCGGTCACGTACCGTGAAAGCGATGCGGTCATTTGATGGAACTTCTCTGCGGTGCTGAGGATAGAGATGCATGCGCAGATTCTGCCTCCATCCTGCTGCTTCCCTAATGTAAGTATCCCCTCTCTCTCTCGCTCCCTCTCTCTCTCTCCAATGCGGCATTACGATGTAAGCTATGGGAATGGGGTTTATACCATAAAACATAATGGCTACTTTGCATGTGAGGTAAATCGGACCTGGGGGAAATTCCACAATATGACTGAAATCGCATTAGTGTAAGTTTGACGTAGGCTTTTTTTTGTTGCATTGTGTGTTATGGTGTTGCGTTCTTAATATCAACCCGCTGGTGCACTTCACATTTGGTTGATTCATTTGCTGGAGTGCGTCGATTTGGGAAACCGAGGATGTCATTGAGAGCAGTTTATATTTTTAAGGCGCTGGGAGTCCTTGACATTGAGGTCACTTTTCTACGTAATGCATCTAGTTTCGTTGAAAGAGAAACAACAAAGATCTTGTCAGGACATGACATGTATGTTGCGTGGTCTGTAAATGAGATGAGAGCCTGTCAATGTCAGACATCCTCAGAACACTCAGCATCCCAGAGCAAATCCAAAGTGTGATTTCTTAATACATTCTCTAGTGTGAATGGCTTCAATCTAAGACAAGCGTGCCTTAACAAATGTGTCTGATCAGCTTTAAGTGAATGTTGTTGTTGTTGTTGGACGGAGTTGATATGCGCATCTTGGTCTGCAGTGTGCTGGCGTCTGACCCCTGTGCTGTCCTGACTACAAATCCCAGAGTCCAACGGAATAAGCCGATCAGGGTGATCAAAGTAATGCAGCTGCAAGCAGTCACTCGTGGGGATATTTTTTAAGAAATATCAAGTTGACCCCCCCGCAGTGGCACATACGCACAGAGCAGCGATGCAGACGACCTGACGTGTCCTTTGACGCGAAATGAAGCGTCCACGCTACGATTTGCAGCATTTGCTGACTGACTGTCCTGAAATGACCCTAAAGAAAAATGGACAGGTTGATCGGTATTATATAAACGGTACCAGATTCTGGAGTGTGCCACTAACAACAATGAATGTATGTAGTCTAATAAATTAACGAATCAAACAAAGTCAATGAATTGAAGCATTAAGAACCAAATAATAAAAATAACGATAACCTTTTGCTGGTATATTACTGAATATTCAATATTTATATTATTAGGAATGAATAAGAAAATAATTTATAATGGAATTAGATCGATGAACCCAAAAGTTTTAAAATAATGTATTAAAAAATAAATGATTTAAAAGTCCTATTTAATTTGCAGGGTTATTTCCTATTCTGCTTTACTTTCCGATTTCTAGCGCACTATAGCGCAGATGCTCATTGTTTTAATGGATTCAAGGTTCAAGCGCATCCAAACCTGGGAAGTCCTCCAACTGTCAGTCAACTATCGTATTAGTAGTTTCACTTCCGGAACAGTGGGCTAGTTGAATGGAAGAGAGAACTCTTTGATTCCTCACAGTATCAGCAGGCGTGTTCATTTAACTGGTTGGATGATGAACCGGCGCCATGTGTGCGTAGTATACAGAGTTAGTTAGACGGATATATAACCGTTGGCTAAACTATGCAACAGTTAATATTAAAAGTACCGGGTCGAATAAACAGATTGATGCACAAGTAAGCTACGACGCATGCGCGAAACCAAATATTCCCTCTCACCAGTCTCCATTTGTGGTACAACAGTAGTTGAAGCCTGCAAAATACCAAAATAAACACGTCAAAGGAAATACATTGACCCGTTTCCGTGATAAACATTTGCGGAAGGCAGAGGGTAGTTTAAGAACAGACCGATTGTGGCCGACGGGATTTTTTACGACCCGGAAGTAACCGGCAGTGAACCCTCTCGCTTCGTCTTCCGATCCCACGCGCAGTCTAATTCATTATTATTAGAACATCGCCTTTGAAGGAGAGTGGCAGAGTTTGGCAGGAGAAGGTTTGTGATTAAGCACTTGTCACTTGCTGCTGTTGTTGTTGTCATTGTTTCCAGGAACACAGCGTGCCGTGAAATGTATCCGCGTTCCGAGGGGACCGTTATCGGCGGTCACCGGGCAGACTCAAGTGAGTGGGGTCGGGTCGGGATGACGCTCACAACGGTTCAAAGAAAGCCTCTTACGCCTCAGTCACAACAACATATTGACCTTACGTGTTTTCCCGCATCGCACCCATCACCAAATCAACGAACGCTGTGTTATATATTCATCATATAGTTGTACAGAAAAGGCAGGTGTTTTTTAGGGGCGGGTGGAATAACGTTTTTTGTGTGCTCGTTTTGCGACAGCCGTTAACCGGGCGGAGTGTTCCTGCGCCGGGTGCAGAAGATAGTCCGATGCGCGCGCGCGTGCGCCGGCACACACAGCAGCAGCGAGATGACCAGCTGCACGGACCCCTGGTGAGTTTAACGTTGTCTGTATGAACCGAACCCGTTAATAATAACAGGACAACTTTGCATTGGGTCAGTCTGTGCTGCGTTATTGCCCGCGTGTGGTTTGGTTTGCGCTGCTTTCCAAACACACTGTGCTGCCACACCCACCTGAGCTCCAGTGTCCTGCTGCTGAAGAAGTCAGAGCATTTTTGCTTTATCGCCCTTAATATGTTGACGGGCTAACTTATGCTTTTGCTTGCATAAGTACGGGCTGCATGGGAAGGTATGCAAGTTAATGTTAAAAATCCCAATCTAGAACCTAAAACATAAGAATGAAGGCCCCTAATGGCCCATTGACAGATGGACCTGCTCAGGTTTTCGGT